TGCCTTGGGGAAATGATAGCGTCCCTCAGCTGAGGCGCTGGCAAATTGCTTATGATTTGCATTAATTCATTATGAAGAAAAACTCTCCACACAATATGCCACATAATGAATACTAAAATGCAGCTGCAGCAAAGCAGGAGAAGCAGGAGCAGATGAAAGGCAGCCGAGGCACATGAATAATAACAACGGCCAGGATAATGCGCTGGCATATTTATTGAATTTTGCGCTTGCAGTGAACAAAAAAAAAAAAAAATCTGTCTATGGTCACGTTTCTGCTTGCAGTCAAGGAGGGTCGCAATCTCATACCCATGGATCCGAACGGCCTGAGCGATCCGTATGTGAAGGTGAAGCTGATACCAGATGACAAGGATCAATCCAAGAAGAAGACGCGCACGATCAAGGCGTGCCTGAATCCCGTGTGGAATGAGACGCTTAGCTAGTAGGTGCCACCTGTCACCTATACATTCCCCGATAATYCAAAGCTACATTTTCACAGTGATCTGAAGCCTGAGGATAAGGATCGACGCATTTTGATCGAGGTCTGGGATTGGGATCGCACTTCCCGTAATGATTTTATGGGCGCCTTGTCCTTTGGCATCTCGGAGATCATCAAGAATCCCACCAATGGCTGGTTCAAGCTGCTCACCCAAGACGAGGGCGAGTACTATAATGTGCCCTGTGCGGACGATCAGCAGGACTTGCTCAAGCTCAAGCAGAAGCCGTCGCAGCGCAAGCAGCCAATGATGCGCTGCGACACACACACACAGTCACAGTCYAAAAAGGACATGATAAGGGCGACAGACTTCAATTTCATCAAAGTGCTGGGCAAGGGATCGTTTGGCAAGGTAAACGAGGATCTTCTTGTTTGTCACAGAATTCTTTAAGACTTTCGACTGCTGCAGGTGCTGCTGGCGGAGCGCAAGGGCAGCGAGGAGCTGTATGCGATTAAGATACTCAAAAAGGATGTGATCATACAGGACGACGATGTCGARTGCACCATGATTGAGAAGCGTGTACTRGCGCTGGGCGAGAAGCCGCCGTTTCTTGTCCAGCTGCACTCATGCTTTCAGACAATGGTGCGTATGCGTGATGTTCGGATGAAACAATTGTTAACAATTATTCTATCACACAGGATCGTCTGTTCTTTGT